GTATCAATCCCATAGATGTAAATTGTGGTGGCCATTTTGGGATGGTCTGCATTCAGTTGAACCACATTGCTGGCAAGCTGTTAACCGCTTGCCGCCCTGCCACTGTGTATATACGTGTGGCAGGGCGGCAGTGGAGCGCAAAACCACGTTTAAAAAACGGGTTCCGCGCTCCCGACACTTTCGCCGGCAGGGGGCGCGCGCGCGCGCTCCCGCCGACCCGCGGGTGACACTATTTGATCCAGGAGGGATCAATCATTAGATTTCAGCCAGTGATTTCTGGCTGAAATCACATGATCGGTCCCTGTCCTATCCTGTCCTGTGTTGACATACACACAGGGCAGGATATGATGTCATTCTTCTCTGCCTGGACACATTCCGTTCCAGACAGAGAAGAAGACATCCAAAAAGTGAGTACACAAGCACTACACTACAGTTAGAACACTCTAGGACACATTTAACCCCCTGATCGCCCCCCCCCCTCCAGTTAACCCTTCACTGCCCTGTCACCAGTGTTACTGATCAGTGAAGCGATTTTTACTGATCAGTGTCGCTGGCGACTTCCGATAGAGTTAGCGCCCCTCCCAGATAGCGCCAGATTTGCCCGCCAGTACACCAGTAATCCCGTTTAACCCCTTGATCGCCCCCCCCCCCCCAGTTAAAAACCTTCACATGCCTGTCACCCAGTGTCACTGATCAGTGAACCAATTTTACTGATCACTGTATCAGTGTCGCTGGCGACTTCCGATAGAGTTAGCGCCCCTCCCAGATAGCGCCAGTTTGCCCGCCAGTACACCAGTAATCCCGTTTAAAAAAAACCCCTTGATTGCCCCCCCCCTCCAGTTAACCCCTTCACTGCCCTGTCACCCAGTGTCACTGATCAGTGAACCAATTTTTACTGATCACTGTATCAGTGTCGCTGGCGACTTCCGATAGAGTTAGCGCCCCTCCCAGATAGCGCCAGATTGCCCGCCAGTACACCAGTAATCCCGTTTAACCCCTTGATCGCCCCCCCCCAGTTAAACCCTTCACTGCCCTGTCACCCAGTGTCACTGATCAGTGAACCAATTTTTTACTGATCACTGTATCAGTGTCGCTGGCGACTTCCGATAGAGTTAGCCCCCTCCCAGATAGCGCCAGTTTGCCCGCCAGTACACCAGTAATCCCGTTTAACCCCTTGATCGCCCCCCCCCCAGTTAACCCCTGCACTGCCCTGTCACCAGTGTCACTGATCAGTGAACCAATTTTTACTGATCACTGTATCAGTGTCGCTGGCGACTTCCGATAGAGTTAGCGCCCCTCCCAGATAGCGCCAGATTGCCCGCCAGTACACCAGTAATCCCGTTTAAACCCTTGATCACCCCCCCCCCCAGTTAACCCCTTCACTGCCCTGTCACCAGTGTCACTGATCAGTGAACCAATTTTTACTGATCACTGTATCAGTGTCGCTGGCGACTTCCGATAGAGTTAGCGCCCCTCCCAGATAGCGCTAGTTTGCCCGCCAGTACACCAGTAATCCCGTTTAATCCCTTGATCGCCCCCCCCCCCCCCCAGTTAACCCCTGCACTGCCCTGTCACCAGTGTCACTGATCAGTGAACCAATTTTTACTGATCACTGTATCAGTGTCGCTGGCGACTTCCGATAGAGTTAGCGCCCCTCCCAGATAGCGCCAGCTTGCCCGCCAGTACACCAGTAATCCCGTTTAACCCCTTGATCGCCCCCCCCCCAGTTAACCCTTCACTGCCCTGTCACCAGTGTCACTGATCAGTGAACCAATTTTTACTGATCACTGTATCAGTGTCGCTGGCGACTTCCGATAGAGTTAGCGCCCCTCCCAGATAGCGCCAGCTTGCCCGCCAGTACACCAGTAATCCCGTTTAACCCCTTGATCGCCCCCCCCCAGTTAACCCCTTCACTGCCCTGTCACCAGTGTCACTGATCAGTGAACCAATTTTTACTGATCACTGTATCAGTGTCGCTGGCGACTTCCGATAGTGTTAGCGCCCCTCCCAGATAGGGCCAGTTTGCCCGCCAGTACACCAGTAATCCCCGTTTAACCCCTTGATCACCCCCCCCCCAGTTAACCCCTTCACTGCCCTGTCACCAGTGTCACTGATCAGTGAACCAATTTTTTACTGATCACTGTATCAGTGTCGCTGGCGACTTCCGATAGTGTTAGCGCCCCTCCCAGATAGCGCCAGATTGCCCGCTAGTACACCAGTAATCCCATTTAACCCCTTAATCTCCCCCCCCCCCAGTTAACACATTCACTGCCCTGTCACCAGTGTCACTGATCAGTGAACCGATTTTTACTGATCACTGTATCAGTGTCGCTGGCGACTTCCGATAGAGTTAGCGCCCCTCCCAGATAGCGCCAGATTGCCCGCCAGTACACCAGTAATCCCGTTTAACCCCTTGATCACCCCCCCCCTCCCAGTTAACCCCTTCACTGCCCTGTCACCAGTGTCACTGATCAATGAACCAATTTTTACTGATCACTGTATCAGTGTCACTGGCGACTTCCGATAGTGTTAGCGCCCCTCCCAGATAGCGCCAGTTTGCCCGCTAGTGCACCAGAAATCCCATTTAACCCCTTGATCGCCCCCCCCCCCAGTTAACCCCTTCACTGCCCTGTCACCAGTGTCATTGATTACAGTGAACAGATTTTTACTGATCACTGTATTAGTGTCACTGGTGACTTCCGATAGTGTTAGCGCCCCTCCTAGATAGCGCCAGTTTGCCCGCTAATGCACGGGATTTTTTTTACCAAAAACATGTAGCAGAATACATTTTGGCTTAAATTTATGACTAACTTTGAGTTTACGATATATTTTTTATAGCTGAAAGTAGAAAATATTGTTTTTTTTTCAAAATTTTTGTGGTTTTTTTGTTTATAGCGCAAAAAATAAAAAGCGCACAGGTGATCAAATACCACCAAAAGAAAGCTCTATTTGTGTGAAAAAAAGGACGTAAATTTCGTTTGGGTACAGCATTGCATGACCGTGCAATTATCATTTGAATTAGTGCAGCGCTGTATAGCAAAAAAAGGCATAAATTACAGCATCTATACGATAGTTTGTAGACGCTATAACTTTCACACAAAGCAATCAATATACACTTATTGGGATTTTTTTTACCAAAAACATGTAGCAGAATACATTTTGGCTTAAATTTATGACTAACTTTGAGTTTACGATATATTTTTTTATAGCTGAAAGTAGAAAATATTGTTTTTTTTCAAAATTTTCGTGGTTTTTTTGTTTATAGCGCAAAAAATAAAAAGCGCACAGGTGATCAAATACCACCAAAAGAAAGCTCTATTTGTGTGAAAAAAAGGACGTAAATTTTGATTGGGTATATCATTGCATGACTGCGCAATTATCATTTGAATTAGTGCAGCGCCAAACAGCAAAAAAAGGCCTGGTCATTAAGGGGGGTAAATCCTCTGGGGCTCAAGTGGTTAAGAACCAAATGAGGTATAGTGGCAAGACCAGAATAGATAACAATCGCTGCCACATAAAAGGTTAAAATGTCAGTTTTGCAAAGTGAAACAGTTCTGCTGCACACCTAAACAACATTTAACATAACAAATGTCTCTGAGGTAGGCTAAAAATTATCGAAAAAGTCTGAAAGTTCACCAAGCTAAAAACAATTTCCTACAACCCAATGCTCTCACCAGGATGCATGTTGTAATACTCCAATCAAACAAAGTCACTGTACAGATCAATCTTTTATCTACACAATGACCTTGCCAAATGTAACTATCGTATTTTAACTTGAATATTTTTTACACCTCCCTCCTTCCAAAAAAAAAATTATATATGACAACCTGAATTTATCTCATGAACCATCTTCCATCTCTTACCCCCTTCTTACCCATCAAAATCCCAAACTTTGCTTGACCTCAGACATGAAATATGAACAACGCATATACTTTTATAGTGTGTACTTGTCTCAATCTAAAGCTGCTGCTTCGTTCCTCTGTTATCTGTTTGAGTCACTTTTGACAAGTTTTCCTGACACCAAGAGAAAAATGGTGACAGGGACGGACCTCCAGCGCACAGCTTGTGATTGACAGCATCAGCTCCATTCCTGTGTGCTGTGTGGAGGGAGTGTGTCTCTTCCCTTCAGTAAGCTCTCAGAACTCTCCTCGCTGAGCTTTGCAGTGTATAACTTTAGCTCACCATCCCCTGTTTTCTGAAATCTCAGACAAGCTTTATAAATTCTGGGCTTTGAACGGATGTAGAGAAGAGAAGCCTGGAGATGAACAGGTACAATTTATGTAGGAGGATTTATTTAATCTCTGTGTATCACCTGATGCTAATCACGTCACATGGTAAATGTAAGGGTTTACAACCACTTTAGCCACTTGCCCTTTGCCCTATAGCAGAAGTACTGCAAGAGGGCGGCAAAATCAAGTATACATACGTTATTTGCATTTCCGGGCAGGGGGCGCGTGCGACACCCTACCCGCGGTGCTATTGGCGGCTAGAGATGTCAATCACCAGGTTACCTCATATTACCGTATTTTTCGCTCCATAAGACGCACCTGACCATAAGACGCACCTAGGTTTTAGAGGAGAAAAACAAGAAAAAAAATATTCTGAACCAATGGATTGCAGACATAATACAGGAGATGACCAGAGACTGCAGACACAGTACAGGAGATGACCAAAGACTGTGGACATAGTACAGGAGATGACCAGAGACTGCGGACATAGTACAGGAGATGACCAGAGACTGTGGAGACAGTACAGGAGATGACCAGAGACTGCGAACACAGTACAGGGGATGACCAGAGACTGCGGATATAGTACAGGGGATGACCAGAGACTGCGGACACAGTACAGGAGATGACCAGAGACTGCGGACATAGTACAGGAGATGACCAGAGACTGCGGACACAGTACAGGAGATGACCAGAGACTGCGGACATAGTACAGGAGATGACCAGAGACTGCGGACACAGTACAGGAGATGACCCGAGACTGCGGACATAGTACAGGAGATGACCAGAGACTGCGGACACAGTACAGGAGATGACCAGAGATTGCAGACACAGTACAGGAGATGACCAGAGACTGCGGACACAGTACAGGAGATGACCAGAGACTACGGACACAGTACAGGAGATGAGCAGAGACTGCAGACAGTACAGGAGATGACCAGAGACTGCAGACAGTACAGGGCATGACCAGACACTGCGGACCTTTAGGGAGGGAGGGGGAGCGGGTACCTGTCAAATTCAGGTACCTGCTCCCACTTCCACAGAGTTCTCCTTCCTATACTGTGGGCACCAGACGTTGACAGCTGGGTGCGCACTGCGCATGCGCAAGAAGCGCTGCACTTTGTGAATGGCCCGGCGTCTTTTGGGACCTGTCATGTGTCCCAGAAGACACCAGACCATTCCAAAGCGCAGCGCTTCTCGCGCATGCGCAGTGGGCACCCGGCTGTCACAGATGCCGGGGCGGGAAGAAGCCGGCGCGGGAAGACTACAGCGTTGGACCGAGGAACAGGTGAGTTCCTGCCACAGAGAACAGCTGAGCGGCCGGCCCGGTATTCTGACATGGTGGCGGCGGAAATACCGGACCGGACGCTTTATATTCGCTCCATAGGACGCACTGACATTTTCCCCCCTTTTTTGGGGGGAAAAAAAGTGCGTCTTATGGAGTGAAAAATACGGTAACCACAAAAACACTGGTTGGGCACACATTTAACTCTTTGATTGCCCTATATCTTTAAACCATTCCCAGCCAGTGTCATTAGTACAGTGTCAGTGCATATTTTTAGCATTGGTCGCTATATTAGTGTCACTGGTTCCCACAAAGTGTCAAGTGTCAGATTGTCCACTACAATATCACAGTTCTGCTACAAGTCGCTGATCGCCGCCAATCCTAGTATATAACAAAAAAAAAAATATACGCTTCCAGTATATTTACCATAGTTTGCAGACCCTATAACATTCGCGTAAACCAATCAATATACGCTTATTGGTCATTTTTTTTCAAGTGGTTAATAAGATGTAACAAAAATATGTAGTAGAATACATATTGGCCTAAATTTATGAAGAAATTTTTTTTTTTCTCATTGGATATGTTTTATTGGGACAAAAACAAAAAAAGGGAGCAAAATAATAAGAAAAAATTTATCCCCACCAAAAGAAAGCTCTGTTTGTGGGAAATAAAAATTGAAAGCAGATAAAAAGGAGAGACGTTCATAACATTTGCATTGTGTGTCTGTGCCACAGCGTTACAACAGAAAAGGTCAGAACACCAAATCTCAATTGTCAGTTAAATTACTGCAGTGCCAAACTAGATTTGCCCTTAGCAAAAAATTATGGCCTGGTCATGAAGGGGAAGGGGGGGGGGAAAATTAAATGTTGCGCAACGGAGTCAATGTGGATTAAAAAGATGTAACTGTGTGACATTGAATGAAACGCTATGGCAGGAGACCCAGCCTGACCAAGGGTTCACTTTAAGCCAAAAGTTTTCTTAAAAAAATAAGCAGATATACTGCCACAGGGCAGCAACAGGTGCGCAAAATCACATATACATTCATGGCCGAAATTGTTGGCACCCTTGATAATTTCTCCAGGAAATTCAATGTGTTTTCACGAAACGTTTTGCATTAACTCTGGCAATGTTGCCTTGCTATGTGCAAGGCATCATGAAATCTGAGGATTCCCTTGGTCGCATTGGGACAAAACAAAAAAGGGCCCAAAGAAAGTGTGTCACAGCAAACCTTTGCGTCCAAGATGGGCTGGACTTCCAGCAGGACAATGGCACCCCACAACTGCGGATATAAATAGCAAAATGTTTAAAGCATGTGCAAAAAGCGCTGGAGAGTTTCTGAAGTGGCCAGCAATGAGCCCAGATCTAGAAATCCCACCTGAAAGCACCTGTGGAGAGACGTTCATCTTAACCTTTGCTGTTGTGTGTCTGTCTGTGCCACACTAAGCTGGGACAACAGAAAGAGGAGACGAGAACTAAGAAAGAGGACCTGAGAACCAAAAAAATTTGGCAAAAAGAGTGGTCAACAATTCCGGTGAGAGGTTCGTCAGAAGCTTATTGGTTACAAGTCCATCTCCAGAGAAGCTAGATTTGCCTTTGTTTTTCCAGTGCGCAACCAAATATCAAGAAGTTAAGGGTGCCACTGTCCAGCTAATCCATTTTGGTCGGGGGACGGATGAGTGACATTATGTCATATTTGATGAAAGATTGCATACAAAGGGAATCCATGTGTATAGCAAAACATGTGTCCAAATGCATTACCTTTTTTGTCCTGAAAGGCTACTTGATTTTCAGGAAAACTATCCCGTCGGGTGCCAACAATTTAATGACTGTAAACGCTATGGGGAGACGCCAGTGCCCTACTTGTGCTGCCATTCGCCGTCGTGGCTGTCACATCACTGGGCTTCCAGCCGGTCATTACTAACCGCACCCGGTGATTGTCGAGCATCTTCCGGCAGGGACAAGGAGAACTGTATGTAAACAATACAGTTCTCCTCCCTGTCAGCTCGTGTACACTCGCTTCGATGGCTGTGCACAGCACAGCCATCCAAAGCAGTGTGATTACAGTGAAGCATACACACAGAGCTTACTGTGAAAATGCACACAGTTAACCCTTTGATTGCCCTTATGTTAACCCCTTGCGACCTCTTGCCATTAGTTGACAGTGTCAGTGCTTTTTTTTAAGCACTGATCACTGTATTGGTGAAACCTGCCCTATCGCGCCCTCAGCCCAAGCCGCCGTCCGTTTCCCCATCGCCTCAGCCCCCTTAAGCCAAAAGCCCTTCCGGTCCTCGAAAACGCCCATCTTGTGGAAGATGAGACTGGGGATATCCGTGACACCGAGTCAGTTCCCCCCAGTGTCAGAATGCCCCGCCGCAGTCCCACTATAAGTCGCTGATCGGCGCCCATTAATAGTAGGACAAAAAAAAATCCCAGTATCTATACCGCCATTTGCAAACGCTATAACTTTCACGTAAACCAATTAGTTTACACGTATTGGGATTTTTTTTTTTGAGCAAAGACATATTGCAGAATACATTTTATGATGAAAATTGCTTAATAGTAAAAAGTTAAAAATATAGTTTTTTTCTCAAAATTGTCGGTCTTTTTTATTTTATAGCGCAAAAAAATAAAAAAAGGTACAGGGGATCAAATACCACCAAAAGAAGTTCAATTCGAGGGACAAAAAGAACGCAAATTTAATTTGGGTGTAGCGTTGCATGACCGCGCAATTGTCAGTTAAAGTAACGCACAAAATAGCCTGGTAAGGAAGGGGGGTAAGTCCTCAGGAGGGCAATTAGTTAAGAGAGGTAAACATATATACAGTATATTTGAACTGGGTATCTAGATATTTGCCTGGAATTCCACTTCAAATGAAACCAATAAATACAGTGTTATCAAAATGTTCCCTTTTAATCATTTTTTATTTCCAGTTTTGACAAACACACAGCAAGTTTGCATAAGAATGTGTATATCACATTTCATACATCTACAAAATGAGTAAACAAACCTGGCTGTTTGCTGTGACACACTATGATCACTTGACATAGTAGATATCAATAATAAAAATATAATATTGTGCTAACATTTTTAATAAATGATGTGTTCCTTATTCTGGTTGCATTAGTCTTTTTCAATAGTCCTCCCTCAAATGCTAAAGTATTTGACTCACAAGTACCCTCAAGATTTAATGTATTCATAAAGCCCGAGGTGGCAGTGAAATAATGTGTGGAAGGCTTGGAGCTTGGCAAATTTGTACTTATCTCAAGTTATAACAGATGAGATTCATTAAGTGATATCCTTCAGTAACACCGCACAGAATGACTTAATTTCAGGGAAAAAAAATGTAATCAAGCGGTTATGCTATCAGGATGCTTGATGCTGGAGGGTCCACAAATGGTTGTTCCATTGCACATTGCTAAACTTACACTCATCTGCATCCTTAACAGGCTTTGTACATGCAAAGGATCTTCATGCACAACTGCTGCTCACCATAACGTGAATGTGCTAAAAAATGTTTACAATATTCCAAAAAATACCATCTTTAGCCTTTATCATTTTGCTCATAATAAAGGAGCACATTTTTACTATTTGCTAGGAAGAGATCTGAGATAATCAAGAGAACGGGAATCTATTGCATCCTTCACAGTTCAGTGCACCTTGATTCTAATTTAACTGTCACTGGCCATTGACTTGAATGTCAGTTAAGACATAATTGTCACTTGACAAAGCTTACTAGAGTTAGCGAATATTTAGAGGCTGTAATTACTAAATGATTAGTCAAGGAATGACTCATTAATTTTAGTGGGTCTTAAAGGAAAATTATAGATGAAATAAAAGCTTCACCATGGTGAAAGAGCACTATGTAAAAGTCACATGTACACCCACATAAATGACTGAATACAGCTATATATCTTAACATGCTACTTACTATATTGATGGTAAAAGTCAATGTTTCCAATCACTATACATCTCCTGGGCTGGAGATTTATTGCTGCCAACCCGGGGTGGACTGACAACTCATGGGGCCCCCGGGCAATAGGGGATCATGTCCTTGCCCAAACTCAAAAAAGCCTATGAAAAAGGTACCAGGGGCATCTCATGACCCCGGGCCCTCGGGCAGTGCCCGAGTTTTCATATTGTCAGTCCGCCCCTGCTGCCAACGATGAGGCAGGTATGGGACTTCATTTGCAGAAATAGGTGAACAAAGATAGGAGACATTGCCCACAGCACTGAGCATGAAATTAGGATTTTTAACAGGAGCTTTTCACAGCACCTTCCTCCCGTGATTTTACTAGCGGCTGTCAGGAATGGACTTGCCAGTGGTGGTGGGACTCACCTGCCTTGTGGGCTGCAGTACCAGGGCTGGCCAGCAGGTGCTCTCAGCAACCAGAGGCTCACTCCTGCAATGAGCCATCACCTGAGGCTGATTACAGCAGGTGTATTTAAGGAATGGCCAGGCCTGTGATCAGGGCCTTGGTGTATGTTTCCCATGAGCCCCTGTACCTGCATCCTGTCTGTTTCCTGCCTGATCCTGATTCTGCTTTAATCCTGACTCTGCATGAACTCTGCCTGTCCTAACCTCGGCTATTCCTGACTACGCTTCCGCCTGCTCCTTGTACCTTGCCTGCCCGTTTGCTACCGACCCGGCCTGCCCGACTACGTTTAGTATTGTTCTTATTGTTATCTGTTGGAGGTTTGGTTGCACTGTGTTTATGTTTAGTCTTGCACTGCGTTTATGTATTGTTTAGTCTTTAATAAATTGTATTGTTTATACTATACCTGGAGCCTGTGTTTTCCTGTGTCAGTCCACACATTTCTGGTCAT